TGTGAGTGTGGGTGGGTGTGAGTGTGGGTGGGTGTGAGTGTGGGTGGTATTATTTCTTCACATACCCACCCAGAGCCACAGCCACACAGCCACACCTACGCCCGCACCCACACCCATACCCTGAAAACTCATCTGTCGAGGCTCAACTGTCAATGTATCCATACCCACCACCGACACTGACAACAAACAAAGAGATGACCAAATGATCGAATCAAAAACTACAACACACAGTAAACCAATCAGTAACGACGACAAATTATTTGTTCATTATAAACATGAAAATGTTTTTGAAACATTCAAACGCGACATGCATCATGTCCATGAAGATATATTTGAAAACACACCAGCCATTCATAAAAAGGTGACTATTGGTAACTGTAATCGTCGATATACATAAAATGAATTGATCCGTAAGCAATCTAAACAAGCATTATCACAGAATACAATAACTCAAAGTAAGTCTTCGCCAAAAATACGAAAACTAATATTATACAATGCGACTAAATGCCTTTCTTTTGACATTTCATTACATAGAACAAGAAAAGAAAAAGAGTAAAAGATCAAATCTGCCACTTCCAACTGATCAACCAAAATAAAATTAATTCTTATGGTCATCAACAAAGCACAAAATGCAGAAATACAAAACTTCACCGAGAAATATTTGTATCTGACCTTCTGTTTCTCTAATGTTTTCTTCAGTTGCTACTGTAAATTAGACTCGAGCGAGAAAAAAATAAACACCATCAATTGTACTTTTCTATTATTTTAAATCATCATTCATTCTTATTTTTTCCCATTCTAGATATTATAAAATCTCTAACTTCACATCTGACCGACTAATGAACTTAGTAGCTGAAGCGACATCCAGATTATGGTAGCTGTTCTCACCTCCGGTCGATTCTTTGAAAATAAGGCATTCAAATGGGATGATAATAAAAATGATAATAGCAGCAGCAAGAGCAACAACAATGCTAATAAAATCACTAGATTTATAAGTTTGGCACAAGAAGGAAGTAGAGATAAATGGTTTTATGCATTTGGAATAATTCCTCAACAAAAGAATGATCCACAACTAGATATAAGTAATTTGTTGAAAATCCATTTCACACAAAATTAGCAGTTGAAAATACTAATAAACGATCATTTAACGAAAGTGAAAAATCTACATCTACATCTACTATATCTACAAAAACCCAAAATTGAAGTTACACCAGAGAATTGTTTCCTTTGTTTACCAATCCCAAAGTTGAAACTCATTTGATTATATTCATTGAAACTCATGCTTATCTTACTATTGTAAAAGGACCACATACAAGATCTTCTATTTTCACGATATGCAATCATAATCCTATTGAACATATCCCAACTATCCGTAAGAATAAATTGAAATTCTTCAATAGCGATGGGGATGATTATATTAAAGATTCATCACTTTATAAAGAAATTGAAAATTTTAAACGTACACTTGCAGAGTATTTGCTATAAAAAAAAACAATTTATAAACGTATATTTTTTGAAATTAATCGAGTTAATAATATTCATCATCGTGTTTAAATGTTACCAATACCATCTGAATTATTAAAGAATGATGGAAACGGTGAAAATAAATTTACAAAAGCATTTAATGAAAATAATAAAGTTATTTATATTGCTCAACTTAGAGATGAAACTAAAAATGTTGATTTACAATTTTGTCGTAGAGTTTTAGCCTATGTATTAAAATGCCCAAAAAGAACATATTGGGAAAAATGTCATCAATCAAAAGCTAAAGAAATAAAAGATTGTTAAAACTTAAAACTTTTTTTAATAAAGATCATGATTTTACCATAGAATAAAATAAATAACAATAACGAAAATATCTCACAAGTATACTTATTATTTAATAAGTATATAATGAAAATTGATGTCCTAGATAAACAATGTAATACTGTTTTTTTTTCTTTATTTTTTTGCATTTTTTAAATTCATTTCTTCAACACATCGTTCACATAAACAATCGAAAAACCATTCTTTTAAATCTTTTTGTCTTATTTCTAAACCATCATTAATAGAATCACTATAATTTATACATAATTCTTCATTTTTTTTAATATTTTTTAAAAGTTTAAAAATAGTTTTTGCCCCCTTTTCAATATTAATTAAATTTGGATTACATGAATGATTAAAAAATGAAGCTGATGAATATAATGAATATCCAAACAATTCTTTATTTCCATCTGGTTCATTATCAATTGACCAAATTCCATAGGCATTAGTTAATTTTTTACCAATGATTGAACGAATTATAGATGGAATAATATATGATTGAACTTTTTCCAATGTGGAAATTTTTAAGAATTTATAAATTTTATTAGTATAAGAATAAAGTAAATAAGGATATTTACGAATTTTTTCAACATCACTTGATTGAAGAAGTTGAAAAATTTGAAGTTCCAATGAGGATAAAGATACTGATGATAACTTGTTGTTTTCACAATTATCACATTTATACATTTGAAATAGTATTCCAATAATATATTTAATTTCCATATATTCATTTTCATTAATTTTAGGAATTAAATAAATCAAATTATTAAAGTTTTTTCTTTGTTTTGGTTTTAATTTAGATAATTGTAATTGACAATTAATTTCAGCTTCTTGCCACTTCTGAGAGATGAATAATTCAATATCTTTAGCTTGTTTTAATTCATTTTCTAATTTTAATTCAGCTTCTGTTTCCGCTTCTTCTTGTTGTTTCTTCCTTTCAAGATCATATTGACATTGATTCAATCCTTTAATGAAAAGACTTTCCACATTCAATAAACTTTCCCGGTATAAATCATCTATATCCAAAGCAATAAATTTGTCCATACAAGGTTGGGAACAGAAATAAAGTGCTAATGAACAATCAGATGCAGAAGCAGACGTAGAATTATTTTGCTTATTCTTTCGTGACATCAATTTAAATTTTAAAGTTTTACCGTGTAAAAATTCGAAACAAGACCCACAAACTTCTTTTCTAAAAGGTCGAGCAATAGTTGAACTAAGTGGCATAGAACATTCATGAACAATTGTATCTTGAGCAAGATCAGTATTGGCAAAACAACCACGACCACCATACTTCGTTGGTTTTACGGAGAAATACGATGAGATGGAATTAAGAAGAGTGGTAGCTTCATCAACTTCTGCTGATGACGCAACAGATGTGGTAGGAGAAGTGATGGTGGAACACAAAGATGATTTCTGAAGATCTAAATGGGTCAAATCGTCAACCAAAGTAGACAGATCACTAGATATGTCATTATCGGGGGATTGATTCCACATGATGAAGTGAAGGTTAATCGTTTATCTATTGTAACTGGTGGATAAGTGATTCTTGTTGAAGTGCCGTGAGTTATGAAGATGTATAAGTAGCTTTAGTTAGTCTTTCCTTGATCACCAAAAAAGAATAAAATTAAGATAGGTCTTAACTATATCTATTATTTCTTCTTGTCATCTGAAAATCAAATGAAAAATTTTAAAATTCAAAGAAGAAGTTAACGTGCACAAATAAAAAAGTAAGTGAAAACAAAAGAAAAATCTTGTAAAATTAATGCGCAATTAAACTGTATCTTTTCTTGGCACATTTTAAAATTATTTGATAAGTAATACTTAGGGGTACTCAAAAGTAGGGGTGAGAAGTTATTATTATTTTTTTTTATTTATCACAGTTATATAACGAATAACTCTTAGTTTTTGAAATCCTAGGAACACAGTGTAACTTTCGAGAAAATAACGAATTTTTATAACACTTGACTAAAGGTTTTCGGAATCGAGGAATTCGAATCTGTAATTGGTTTTTCGGAATTTTGAAGTTTGATTTTTTCGTTAGGAGAAGACTATTTTTCGAAAATAACGGTGTGACGATTTTAGATAGAAGAAGAGTTAGCGCTGATGGAACTACACTTTATTATATTTCTTCTTATCAAGAATCGCATCGCTTCCATACAAAACATATGCTTATATACTTATCCATCAGAGAGGAGGAAAGAATATGAAAGGAAAGAATGATAAGACCATATATGGGAAGAAAGAGATATAAGGACAAAGTATAAGGACGAAAATATCAGAACAATACGGTCATTATGCCATACAGTGTACTCAAGCGGGAGCGTTACACCCCCGGATGGAAATTGGACGCTCTCCCGAGCGTCCGTAACATCAAGAGAGAAGAAAAAACGAAGAGAAAGGAGATAACAAGCAGAAAGTATTAAAGCAGTGTATCAATGGAGAACGATATTAATGAGTATACATTAACAGAAGAAGAAAAAGAAAAAAAATAACAAAGAAAGACATGCTAACAAACAACTGTTAAAATGCGAGCGAAGAGGTGACGTTGATGAGATAAACCACCAGGCAGCAGAAGGGGAACACTTCCACTGCATTCTGCTCATGAATGGATCCGCCGGCCTTCAGTCCATTGAGGAGGTGAAAAATCACAATAAGATCACAGCAACACTTGCAAATTTGGATGTTGATGCCAGCTATAAGTTAACAATAAGTGGAACGGTTGTCATATTGATATCAGTTGATGAAATCGGTGAAGAAAATGAAGGAAGTGCTGAATAATAGAGGGACTCGGGACGATACAGCGATTGCGCATGGATGTTATTAGGAAAGTGCGTTGGGACTACGCACAGTCGGCTGGGACACAAGCCGCCCTTTATTGCGTTCGCTGACCTTCGGTAACACTACTGCCACCCTCAGCAGCATTATCGCCCCTACGTCATCTCCATTAATTCGACAGTTCGAACATAATCGTGATCATCGTTTCATTGCGTGTTGTTCAAAACAAAGGGCGATGCAAGGATGATGTTGTAAACCAAGATGGAGATGTAGGACTTCGAACATAAGAGAAAGAAGATCGATTGCCAGGGTCGCCAAATGTGACGATTTTAGATAGAAGAAGAGTTAGCGCTGATGGAACTGCACTTTATTATATTTCTTCTTATCAAGAATCGCATCGCTTCCATACAAAACATATGCTTATGTACTTATCCATCAGAGAGGAGGAAAGAATATGAAAGGAAAGAATGATAAAACCATATATGGGAAGAAAGAGATATAAGGACAAAGTATAAGGACGAAAATATCAGAACAATACGGTCATTATGCCATACAGTGTACTCAAGCGGGAGCGTTACAAACGGGTTTTCGTAAAGTTTGATTCAAGGTTTTCGGGGTGGAGGAATCCAAATCTATAATCGGTTAATCAAAATTTTCGAGAGTGACTTTTCTCATCTGAGGAAGACGATTTTCAGTTTTCTCTGCAGAATCATATAGGATACTCTAAAACTCACTGTAGAACATGCCTCCATCTCTTACAGCTTCTGGATCTCGATTTGGTTGCCCATACTAAGTGACCAGAAAAACTCGTTCTGCCGGTTCAGATGCCTTGTAGTGAAAATTCACTATAGGTTTTCGACCTTTCTTCGTCGAATGGAACCTTTGTCTGGCCATTCAGAGCCTCATATAGTGCGATTCAAGGCACTTGGGGGTCCGGATGAAAATTTGAGTTTCCTAAAGGAGACTCGTGCCGAGGTAATATGAAAATTTCCTCTAGCTTTTCAACCTTTCTGAATCGAATAGGAGCACTCTTTAACCATCCCGAACCCCGTTCATCCTGTGACTGTACAGATACCCGTTGTAACATCCATATGTAGGCAAAATGCTCTAGATGAGATTCGGTATGGTTAAAGAATGGTCTTATTCGATTCAAATAGTTTGGAAAGCTATAGAAAATTTTCATATCACCTCAGCACGAACCTTCTCTAGCAAACTCAAATTTTCATCCACTCTCCCCCCCCCCCCCCCCCCCCAAGTGCCTTGAATCGCGCTACATGAGGCTCTGAATGGCCAGACAAGGGTTTCATTCAATGCAGAAAGGCCGAAACCCTGCCAAGGTCGAAAACTCAGACATAAGATCGTATAAGATCTTACCCTTACAAGATTTTTTTGTAGAATGGTGTCCAGTGTTGCCACCTTTTGAAGTCCGAAAAGCAGAAAGACAGCAGAAAGTATGTTTATGATATGAAACTAACGGGTAGCTCATAATAAAAGAGAGTCTCAGTATTTTGTTAACATCTTAAGCGTTATCTTATCGCTCATGCTTTATTTTTTTATCAAAAGATTCACCGTCTGCTTCTGCACAAATTGCATATTTCATTGTAAAAATATTTATTTCTTTCTCTTTCGATATCACCACAATTTAAAAACAGCACTGCACACAACTTTCAAAATCTCTATTTTTTTCAATTTTTTCTGAAAACATCCAGTCCTTAGATTAGTCTTATTATCATTGGTTGTGCCATATTCTTTATCCAGCAATAAAATAAATTGCCTTTGGTACATTGATTGAAATGAACCAATTTATGTCTTGAATGGCGAACAAATTATACTCAAAGTAGCAGGATTAATTGAGAAACTGGGCATTTTGGAAAAAAATTGAAAAAAAAATGAAGACTCTAAAAGTTGCGTGTAATGCTTATGTTAAATCATGATGATGTTGAAAGAGAGATAAGTATTTTTTACAGCGAAATATATCAATTTCTATAGAATCAGACAGGGAATCTTTCGATAAAAAAATAAAGCGTGAACAATAAGATAACGCTTAAGATGCTAACAAAAACTGAGACCCTCTTTTATTATGAGCCACCCGTTAGTTTTAAATTTTAGTTTCAGTATACTAATTACTCGTATTATATGGCATCATAAAACACGACTAATTAACATAGACAGAGTCATTGAACACGTTTTCTTTTTTAGAAGTA